GATTATTACAAAAAATCTGAGAAATAATAAATGAGGAAAGGAAATTACGGAATTTCTGACTTAATTAGCTAAAAGTAAAAAATAGTAATTACACCAGGAATTGCATAAATTTTTCTCTTTACACTAATAACAATCAATACTAATCACTGGAATCTGTTCTGAAAGTGATCAATTCTTCTCCGGTCTAATAAAAGTGTTAAATAAGTTCCTTCTTTACATATTCCAAAGTATTTAGCTTAAAAAGTTAAATTAGAATACAATTTAGAATCCGCTAAATATTTCTTAACAATACAATTATTAAATGAAAACCAATGGCATCAGATAGTAAAAATAAATCATGAAATGAAAAAAAATGCTAGCAACACTTACATAAAATTCAAAGTCAATAGTCGAAACAAAAATAATATTTAAAAGAGGAAAAGTTGAAGAATTAATTTCATGAGAAATTAAAATTTGCGGATTCTTCGATGAAATATGTATAAAAAGTCCTTCATTTCCATTTCAGATTAGATATTTGCCCCGTCAAAATTGGATGCGAAATAATATCAGAAGATAATGACACTTTTGCCTGAGTAGAAAAAAGAATAAATTTCACGTGACTTTTTGCTCATTAAATAGTTGAACTTTTTTTAATGTCATATAGAAATATGATTTCATCTATACGTCTCTTTTTTCAACTCAGAAAAGAAATTTAATTTTTTTTCTGACAAATTCCTCTGATCTTGAAATATGCCGATAATATTCTTCTGATTTATTTCATGGTATTTTATTGATATCACATTAACTTAAGTCTCTTGAATTAGGAATAAAAGTTAATATAATTAATTATTTAAATTAACTTAATATGCATAAAATAATAGTTTCAATCCTTTCTTTTCTACCATTGTTATTTATTATTAAAAATTCTTAATTTTCGACCAATGATGTTATGAAATTCTTGCAACAAAAAACTTAAAATATAAAGCCATAGCATCAATTTAATCTTTACAGCTTCATTCTACGCTTTATTTCTTTTTTTTACATCGATTTGTTTAAAAAAAAATTGTTGTTGAATTGAAACAAGTAATATCGATTATTAAACTTGACGTTCTAATTACCATATACGATGTACAAGAAGTAAATACGTGAAAAACAAAAAAGTATCGAAAATCTATCGATAACCAGAAGGAATCTCTGAAATAATTGCATCAATAGAATCATTCTCATCCTTGCAAATATTTTGAAAAGAATTTTATCAGTTTTCATTAATATTTTTAATTAAGAAGTTAACAACTGCGCTATTCTTGATCTAATAAAAATGAAGTTCAAAATTTTCGACATTCCATCATTTCCACATATTTACATTTACACGGCGAGTAACGTGTGCTATTTGCATAGTAGTATATGAATAAATTTACAAACAATAACAGACGGTTGTAAGTAAATTAAAACAAAATACGTGAAAAATTAACATTTGTTGAAATAAAGAATATCTCAACTGCTTGTGCTTATTCCAAACGCGCTAACCATACATTGCAATTGAATTCTTTAACTAAACTGATGTTTATTTACTGTTTGTAGTTTTTGATTTAAGCGGAGACTTTTGACAGGACAGTCAAAACCGAGTGGTAAATAAGTGGACATTTCTGGCTAAACATATTTTCATCCAATCATTATTGAAATTGAATTCTCAATTTATTGATTGAAAACAGGGAGATAGGGAATGAGAAATTCAGGGAAAAGACAAGAAAAGAAAGTAAAATATACTAACTGATGAGAAGTAAAGACAAAAAAAGAAAAATATATATTAAGTGAAATTAGAAATTTAATAATCATTTGAAGTTAACGGTAAATTTAAATCAATATTTTACTTACTCATTTGTACTAAATGTTAATGAACTGTTGGCAAATCAATAAAATTTAAATTAATTTCTTTCCTTCTCCTGTATTAGCTAACTCGAATTGGTCACTATTAGCATTGCATTCCTATTTCTATCACACATTTTTTAGTCACTGTAAAAAGAATTTGTTCGTGCAGCAATGATTCATTCTTAAACTAACCATTTTTGCATTTTCATCAAATATTTAATAATTTTTCACCGCTTCCATCTATTCAGTTAAAGTAAATATTATTCACACGTCAATTCATAACTGACATAAACCGGATATTATCATTCGGATGAATAGAAATTATTTGAAACAATAACATTATTTGCCAGTCATTGTCATTTTCTTTTCAATCTAATATTTTCATTCACAACAGATTGATGCGGTGAATAAGCTTTAAGTAACATTTTATTTTAAAAAGGTTGCTGAAAAATATTATTATATTATCCGTTTTTTATTATCCATCAATTAACACATTTTGATATAATTCCTTTATATTTTGTACACATTGTTCAAGTTTTTGAATTCTGAAAAGAAAAAAATTTTCTTTAAGTTGGGTGTTCTTATATTCAATTTCAATCTATTAAATGAGGAAACTAACAAAAAATTGAATTGCTAAAAATCATTTTGGTTAATTTTCTAAACAGCATAAAAAATTACCAATCGAGAACTTAAAATTAATTTTTCATATATTAGCATTGAATAAAATAGTTATTGCTTTCTAATGTTTGCTTAAAACTTTTGAGACATATTTTTCACCCGCGATGATTACGATATTCTTTCATTGAATTTTTCTTTTGTTCTATTGCGATAATTAATTCCTTCGAATTTTATAAATTTATTGAATTATTCCGTATTTTTAGAAACAGCGAGAAAGAATTGTACAGATTGATCCGATATTTGAAATTAAATCACAAAATATTCCATTCAATCATAATGATGTCAAATATCGTTGCTGTTGTCATTCCGTTCACGTTAAAGTAATGCATTTTCATTTACTAAAATTCACAAAAAATTTTTTCTAGACAAAAGGAATTTAATACAAGAAGATAACTCTTTTAAGCACAAAAATGATTAATATTTGCATTTGTATTTTATTTCTTTATTAGTGTTATAATTGATTAATTAATTAACATTATAATTAACTCATTAAATATAATAATAATAATAATTAATGATAATAATTAGTGATAATAATTAATGATAATAATAATGACTATTAATAAACATATTAGAAAACGATAACTTTACAGCAAGGAACATTTGTAATTGCAATGATTTCATCATTTTTTGTTATCATCAATTTGATTTTAAAAGTTTTTTACAATCAGATATCGGCTGGAACTGAGAACTGCTATTCTTGTTTACCGATACTGTTGTGATGTTATCATTATTTTACGAAATTATTACCGAAAAGGCGACATTGTTACAACCATTTACGGTTCTTAATGTATTTAATTATTTAATTAATAATTATTTGATATCCTAGCAATTAAATATTTTCAGAATCTTTCCACACTAAATCTCATGATTGATTAATTGTTTAATTGCACATCAATTCTGCAGATTTTATAATTTTTGATTGAACTAAAATTAGGTTTATTGATGTTTCGACGAATTCAGAATTAAACTAAAACAGTTTTCTTATTATTTATTTTCTTCATTCATTTTTAAAAAATTAAGAAAATTGAACAAAAAATTAATTTTACGAAATTTAAGCTTTGCAGTTTCATTACATTTTCAAAAATTAGGAAGTGTAAATTGCAAATATTTCAATTCTTTTTTTTTCTTTGAAATTGTTGAAAATTTATGAAGGAGAAGGATATATACGAAATAATTTTTTGATAATAGATATTAACGATTTCATTTCTTATATTATTATCGATTTTCATTATCAATGCTATTTATGACCCATACTCATATGTTGCGGAATATGTGGAATTAGCGATTAGTGATCGAAGCAACATATTGCATCAATCACTTCTGTACCTCAAGAAAATGATAATAATATGATATGATAGTGATAAGTATTGAGTAAAAGTAATCTCAGAAAATAATAATAATCGTTAATTAACGCCGATCTTAGAATCAAAGGACGGATCTCGAGGTATACTTCAGATGTTAACATGACATTGATTCTCGTAAAACTTTTATACTAATGGCCTAAAACTTAAAAAATCTAGACTGCGCTGAAAGTGCAATCGCACTGGTTAAATATAATGTCTACAATTGATCGAAATATAAAAATTTCAAAAATTCTGCAATTTTTAGTATTTAAAGTGTAATAGAGCGAAAAAACTTTTAAAATTTCACTTATTTATTATCAAGAACTTCATTGAAATACATTTATCATAGAATATCAATGTGATTAAAGTAATTAGGAGAAAGTAAGAAAGGTTTCAGTTATTGCTACTTTATCAATGTTTACAACAGTAATTGTATCTATCATAGCATCGATTCATTGCCGGTTTATGATTATTATTGTTAGATGTACGAGATATTTTCGAGATTTGATGCCTGCCTATTAAGGTATATCTTTCTTGCTCATCCTTATGAAAAAATTATTTCTTCTAAAATTAAAATTTAATAATTTTAAATTGATTAAATGAATAAAAATTATACATTTTTAGCAAAATGTTATGAAAGGATGTAATGCAAAGTGGTTCATGGATTCGGCATTTTTGACGAAAATATGCAACCAAAATAGATGTAATCATATCATTCTACTTTAACATATATGTTGACCAAATATTTTTTCAGAGATTTAAATGAATCACAAAAGTTATTAGTGCATTTGTTTTGAAAAACACTTAATCTAGCAATTATTTAGTTAATAATTTATGTTGCTTACAATTATACTTTGATATAGTTATATATTTTTCTGTCTGTCTCGAATCTTACTGTATACATGGTTATATCACCTTTGACATTGCTCACAATGAATCTATGCAAAATTGATTAAAGCAAAATGAAATTACGAATTCGTTTCCTACATAATGCAAGCGAGTGTTGATAGTGTGGAAACTTATACAAATTAGAAATTTGTACAAATTAGATCAATCAGTTTAAATTTCAAATCAATTATTAAGTTAATTAACTTGTAATTAAGTCTGTGTCTCATTCATTGGCATATATCATTCATCGTCGCCATTATCATTACCATTATCATCGTTATCATCACTATCACTCCACTGTTTTAATTTCAGCTCATTTCCATCTTCGTCACTGGTTGAGGAAGATTCTAAAATATTCTTAGTCTCTTAATTAATATTTTAATTGTCCATTTCTTCATTTATATGATAATATCATCAATGAATCATTCGTCTCTTTCCTTCCATAAATCAATTTATTTCTTTTTCTTCTTCACTCCTTTTCTCTCTTTCTCTGTCCCTCTCATCCACATCTTTTTTCAAAAGTTTTTATTGTTACATCCGTGGATTTTTACAAGATCAAATATTCCTACTGAGTAGACAAAAAGTCATTTTCATTCATCCTATCCGTTGAAGAAGCGGAAAAATATAAGAACT